CTCGTCTAGTAGAAGAGATTAAGTTCCACTCAAAAGTAGAACTTGACAATACTGATGTGAGATATAAAGTTTTTTTGAATTGTTGAATAACTATTAAAAGCTGGGATTTTTAGATATACATGGGTTCAACATTCGGCGAAAATGCAGAGATTGTGGTCAAGAAGATGAGGGGAGGAGACAAAATTACTGTTGAATACGATCCTGTAAGTTATTTAACAAATTTAGACAAAATTCAGAAAAAGTATTATCTGAGGGATAGATTTCAAGAAAAAAACACTTTTATTGATATCTCTGTTTGTAGTTGAAAAGAGCAAATCATTGAAGAAGTGAGATAAAAGCAGTAACATATTATTTTTCCATAAAGCACTTTATCCGTTTTTTCTTCACCATAAACTTGTGTATTTCAAAAGCTGTTCTAATAAATCCATTTCTTCACTGAAACGGCAATTGCGAAAATTAGTTTTCAATTTTTTGCTCACGTTTCAGATCATTGTCAACGTTAATGGAATGGAGCTTAAGTTCCCTCATGAACTATTCATTGATGGAAAATTCCAACCTTCTTCAAGCGGAAGGTAATTTTTCAAACTCATTTCTTCTGCGCTTGTCAAAATTCCAACAAGTTAGTCTACCTTTAATAGGACATACGATACCATTAATCCTTCTGATGAAACTGTGATCTGCAAAGTTCCAAAGGCTGACGCTAACGATGTGAATAGAGCAGTTGCAGCAGCTAAAACGGTAAGTTAGAAGGTATAATTTAATAAAATTTATTAGTTGGCATTCCTCTTTGTTAGATCACAACTAGTACTAAGATGCAGTCGAATAGGTTGAGAGGGTTAAAGCGTAATGAAACGCAGTCGAGTTATATTTCCAGTAAAGTACCCTAGTAATAAGTCGAATTGTAAATTCTAATTTCCAGTAGCTCAAATCCTATCAAGTATTAACTTTCTGCGCTCGCATCCTTATTCGGCACATTACTCTTAGAATGTCTAAAGCTGGTCAACTTACAAGAGTTTAAGAACCTGAGCAGTTTTTCTCGCCGTTTTTTTTCAAAACATCAACTTCACCAAATTATTAAAAAAGTTTCTATTTTCGTCTGTAATAAAGTCATAAATGAACTGTTTATT